CCCCGACGGTTTGTCCCGACTACAATCCGCCGGGTCCGGGCTGTGTCCAGCGCTTAAACTCGCGGCGTTCCTGCTTTAGGCAATACTGACCTTCGCTCTCCCTCCTGCGTTTTACACTGGTGAGGATTTTAATCATAGAATCATAAAATTTTGGGGGTTGGAATGGAGTTTATAGATTATCCAGCCCCAACCCCCTGCCCTGCGCAGGGACACCTCCCACCAGAGCAGGTTGCTCAAGGTTTGATCCAACCTGGCTGTGAACACTGCCAGGGATGGAGCAGCCACAGCCTCCCTGGGCAACCTGTGCCAGTGTCTCACCACCCTCACAGGGAAAAAAAAAACCCTTTTCCTAATATCTAACCTAAATTTCCCCTCCTTATAATAATTATCTAAAACATACAGTGTCCCATTTCTAGCCCGGTAACTGTGTCCTGATTCAAAGAAATTGACCCAATGGTTATTAATGATTATTTCATTAATCATAGGTTTAGATTTATTTAGCCTTTCCATGCTATACACCTTGTTTTAGTCACTAAGAGCACAGTTCCTTATGTCTAGGGTTAACCCTTTGGTATCAAAAGTGCTCACTCAGCACCCAAATGTTTTCATATCCATGTTCCCCTTTGGTTCTTGTGATTTTCCTAGTTAAAGCAGCTCTTTATCCCCACTGTTATTGATAAAAATCAATTTTCACCCTTAATTTTGTCACTATATGTTACTCAATCATAAATCTTTTGTATAAGCTCTTTGGCCCTTTGCTAGTACAAGAATTGACTTGAATTTATGCCAACTTAAATCTCAATTCAATTTCTAGGTTCCTGCTTAGGCAAGACACTACTCAGAAGCCCTAACCTGGAAAGAAGAGGAGACACAGGTATTTTTGTTCTGAAGATATCTTGAGGATATTGGGCATCCTAAAGAGATCACTCGGGATCTCCTGTGTGGCTTTTACTGACGTGGGATATGAGTTGGGAATACCTCTGTGGGAAGCTCTCTCTGTGTCACTGCTCATATTCTATTTATATCCTTCTAGTTCTGTTTATATTTGCCTCCTCCAAGTTCTGTTCATATTATATTTGCCTCCTTCAAGTTTCAGTTGAATTCTTCTTCAGGATTTATTGCTTGTTCATGAGGTTTATTCATAGGAGAAGGTCCTGAGTGGATTTATATTCCAATAACTTGGAAAATATTAAAAGTAGAAGGTGCAGCATAAAAACACTTTAAATGTGTTGAATATTTACCAGTGTTGAAGGCTGGTGCCCTGAAAGTCCACAAAGGATGGGTGGAGAGGCTTTGAGGAATGATTTCCATCCACTGGGCTCAAACACTTGCTGCTTCTAGGAGGTACATAGTAGGGATGTATTCCTACTGTTCTCTTCATGGCTTTTTGGAATACCATGGGAATTACTAACAAGATCTGGTCAAAGATTGTTATTAATAAACCTTAATCATGTAAATGTAAATCAGGGCAAGTGTAGCCTATGAGCTACAGCAGAGTTAGCCTGATCATTTGCAATCACTGTTAATTAATTGCCATCTTTAATCAGTTTCTGAAACTTGGAATGCAGAGTGAAACCCAAGAGATTCACAAATCAGGTAGTGCTGACATGCACCAGCTCTTACAGGATGGTGTAGAAGAGATCCAGTGTTTGATTTGAGTCTTGGCTTTCATTCACCTTTCCTCCTTGAAATTCCATTGACCATTTTGTTCTCCAGCACCACTGAAAAAAGGCTTTAGTGGGATACTGGGGGGATAATAGAATCCCAGAATAGTTTAGGTTGGAAAGGGACCTTACAGACCATCCGATTCTGATCCCCTGCCATGGGCAGGGACACCTTCCACCAGCCCAGGTTGCTCCAAGCCCCATCCAACCTGGCCTGGAACACTCCCAGGGATGGAGCAGCCACAGCTTCTTTGGACAACCTGTGCCAGTGCCTCAGCACTCTCACAGGGAAGAATTTCCTCCCAATCCAATCTAACCCTGCCCTCTATCAGTGGGAAGCCATTCCCCCTTGTCCAAAGTAAAGTCCCTCCTCTCTTGGAGCCCTTTAGGCACTGTCATCACAACATTTACCACCCAACTGACATTTGCCTTAAGTCTTCCTCGAGTTAAAAAGTAGGGAGAAATCCTGCTTTAAATAACCTCTATTGTATTGCAGTTGCATCCTGGAAACTTGGTTGGGAAATGGTACCAAGTACTCATCAAAAAAATTCCTTTCCATCAGACAGGGTTTACTCCAAAGTTGCTTCCAAGTATTTCATCACAACATTTACCACCCAACTGACATTTGCCTTAAGTCTTCCTCGAGTTAAAAAGTAGGGAGAAATCCTGCTTTAAATAACCTCTATTGTATTGCAGTTGCATCCTGGAAACTTGGTTGGGAAATGGTACCAAGTACTCATCAAAAAAATTCCTTTCCATCAGACAGGGTTTACTCCAAAGTTGCTTCCAAGTATTGTCCTAGAGCTTTGTCATTTACTTGCTCTCTCCTTAACATGGAAAACAGCTGTGGTGAAGGCAGACTGGACAGCCAGTCCCAGGCAGGGACAGTGTGCCCTGCTAATGTTGTGTCACACTTGTTGAACACTCAGCATCCAAACTAGTCCCTGAGAAGAATGAAATGACAAATTAGTGGAGGCTCTGCTGAAATTACTTGTGTTCTCTTTGGTGCATGTGCAAAAAGGTTGGACATTAGAAAGAATTTCTTCCCCAAAAGAGTGGTTAGACACTGGACTGTGCTGCTCAGGGAGGTGGTGGAGTCACCATCTCTGGAGGTGTTTGAGGAGAGACTGGATGTGGCACTTAGTGCCATGCTCTGGTTAACGTGGTGTCAGATCATAGCTTGGACTCAATCTCAGAGGTATTTTTCAACCTGATTGAGTCTGTGACATGAAGAGCTTGATGCTTTGCTCATAACACGCAAACTTGAATGCAAAAGGGAAACAAGCCATGAGTATTTTTCCTGATCATGACGTTTTTGTCCAAGGTGATCAGGATGGCTGCCACCTCCCAGTTTGCTGGTCGCTACAAGAAGAGTTTGAGCAGAGGAGAAGAGACCCTGAGGACCAAAGTGGCACGCAGGAAGTCGATCATTCAGAAGGAGAACAGGCACAAGCTCTTTGAGAAGGGAAGGCAGTTTGGGCTGGCAGATGTCAATGTGCAGCTCACCAGAGACAAGGGAATTCCTGAACTCAAGGACTCAAAGGAAATGTGCTCCCAAGAGAACAGCAGTGTCAAGCAGAGTAAGTAAAACTCATTATCAATCTTTTTTTTGGGGGCTTTTAAAAATGTGTTTCAGTAGATTTAGTAACATTATCACAAGAACTTAATTGCAGTCATCATTTTAACCTGAAGAAAAGGTGTAAGGTATAAAACCCAATTGCTACCAGTGCTTCTAACTATTAAAATCAAGAAAATAAAGTCTTAATGAAGTCTTAACATTCTCCTCACTGCTTGGGTGATAAGAATGAGGCTTTGCTCTGGTTTGGCTGCAGCAGCTGAAGGAAGAATGAATTCTGCTGTTTTTGTCCAATGGGAAGTCTCCTATCGATTGCTTTGTCCTTCAAAAGTGGAAAAACTCCAATCTAAAATCTCACCTAACATATAACTGGTGTCTGCCATGTGCTTCAAGTGTGCTTAGAAATGGGGAATTGAGTATTATAATTAATGGTAAATAAATATAGTGACTTTATTTTATGAATTGCTTTTTTTTTTGCCAACTTATCTTTCTTCACAGAAAACAGGACCTGCATATATACTGAATTGTGCCTCCCTAGCTTTCCTGGATGCTCATGGGCTAAGGAAATAAGTCAATATTTTAAAATGTTAAAGATTCATTTAGCAATAGTTTCTCCTTTAGTATTTTGACAGCAGAAGATTATTGGAGTTCAGTCCCTTATTTGAAGGTTATTGGACTTCAGCCCCTATCTAATCATATCAAATATGAAATTTAATGAGTTTATACCTTGATTATCTTTAATAAATTTAAACTCTAGATATTAATTTTTCAGTTACACATGTAATTCAAGTTCAGCATCCTCTTAAGCTTTTATTCCTTCATATAACTTCTGCCTCCTTTACTCTCAGCTTGAGAAAGACTTTGGTGCCTAAGGCTGACCTAAAGTTCAGCTTTCAATGACTTAAAAGTGTTTGAATAGAGAAACTGCTGCAAATTAACTAAATAAGTAGTTGAAGTGTTAATTTTCATACCAATAACCTCACAGGAATACCTGTACTCTGTAAAATGGGTGTAAATTTGCAGCTATCCTTGGGTGCAGATCTGGGGAGGTGTATTTAAGTTTAAATTTACCATTGAATACATTTTGGAAGGGTTAGAACAATTAAGAGATTCCGGACAGTCTTCTGCTGTTGGACTTAGTGTTTTCCTCTTCTAGCTGGGAAAACTTTATGGAAAGTTTCTGATTTACTTGTTGTTGGCTCAAAAATGATTTTGTGACATGTCTGTCTTGCACCTTTGGTTCAGAACAAGCCCCAAGTGCAGCCACCATGAGGATGAATGCGCGCAGGGAAATGCTGCAGCGCTATAAGGAGGAGAAGGAACTGCGAAAACTGGTGGAGCAGAGAGAGAAAGCCAAGAAAGAAGTGTTTAAAGTTGGGCTGTACAGACCAGCTGCACCTGGATATCTTGCACATCAGGAGCCAGTGGTGGCAAAGCCAAAAGAGAAGGTAGTCAGTAAATATCTAACCAAATACTCTCTGTATACTCTGTTCATGTTTCTATTTGTATACAAACCTCTAGATGATTCCAAATAAACAGTTTATGTTGTAAATACTTATTAATATCTCTGTTATGATAAGGAGCAATAGGGCAGTGACTTGGCTCTTTTTTCTATAACAAAGCTGGAAATACTGCTAGTGGATGTTTGTATTGATGATATGTTCAGTTCCAAAACTGGAATGATTCAGTCACAAATGAAACAGTTAATTTACTTTAGAACTGGTGACTTATTTCTATTTAGTCCACTTGACTCTGAAAGCTTTTCAGATTACACACGACCCATTTCACATGGACATGTTTCCATTTATGCTCTTGCTCACTCTCACAGTGACAGGAGGCAAAAGGACTATGTTAACTTTTGTTTCCTTGGGGATGTTTCCAGGCAGCTCCTGCTTTCTCTGGAAGGATTACTCGATCCAAGGCCAAGCTCCAAGAAGAAAAATCTCGGATACCAACTCTGATACCAACTGCATCTAAACCCTCTATGGTTTGTTTTTTATGTGCATATATAAGTATATATAACCTTCAGTGATAAGTGTAGAGCAAAGGATGTGCTTTCAGAATATAACTCAGGGCTGTATCTTTACAGGTTTGATTAGCTCAGTACAGAGAAAAGAGTACAGATCTTCTGGATCAGTTTTTCCATCAAGTTTTTTCAGATATCATAGTCAGCATGAACTAGAAATGTGTGTAGGGTAGTAGTGAGGCTGAAGTTATGTCCTGGAGCATCTCACTTGAATGCAGAAGCTCTGTCATGAATGCACATTATAAATCAGTTCATTCTTCACTCATGCCAAGTGATTTTTGTTTTCACTCCGAAGCTTGGCAGTTCTTTCTCCTATTAATTGTATAAAAAAGTAGGCTCTGTTGAGGAATTTCACTAGCAGGAATCTGTAGGGGAAAATTCCATTTAGAATCTAGCAATCTTGCCACACAAAATTTCAATGTCTTGGAAGGAATTCCAGTCATAACTTTGCAAAGGAACAACTGAGTTAATATGGATTTATTTTCTTTGAAACACATTATGCACCTAGATGTGGCAGCAATTTGCACTTTGTTTCATAGTAAACTTAAACTGATTCTTAACTGGTTTTCCTCATTCTTTTCCTGACAAAGTCTTATCTGGTTGGATAATGCAACAGGTCTAAAATGAGCTCTTTTAGTTACCTTTAGTGTGTCTACTTTTTAAAGCCCTTTATGCCAAATGATTTGACTTTTTGGTTTACTGTAATCTAGAACAGAAAGAAAAGGAAAGGAATGAGGCTGCTGAATTTCTGCATATCTGACCCTTCCCCAAAAATGATCTCTTTTAGGTCAGTGCCCACGGGCAGAGCGTTCACCCTACACAAACAGCAGGACGGAAACAGATGGGCACAGCCAAAGTGGCTGAAAAAGAGAAAGGTATGGAAGCAGGGTGATCCCTACACCTGGACCTGAAAGGATGCTGCTGCTTCGGTTTGGGGTTTGGGTGTAGGAAATGAGGGGTTTTTAGGGTGGCCATTCCTAGCAGCTGTGACAAGGGCAGCAGCTGGCAGATTGTCAAGTGTGTGGCTCTGGGGATCACATGTGCTTCTTGCTTCTAGGGCTGGGGGCGATGGAATGCAGGATCCTGGCAGTCCTGGTTAGTGAGTGTTCACCTTGGGAGAGGGAAAAGAAATGGGTCAGTAGGCAGAATTGCATGGCTGCCAGCTGCCTTAGCAGCTGGAGCTGTGCAGAGCTTTGTTTGCCTCAGAACATCACAGGTAGTAGCTCCTGATATTATGGAAGCACGAGTGAGTTCACCTGGAAAGACAAAGAATAGCTGACAGGAGGGAAAATATGGGGTTTTTTTTTTTCCCTTGGTATTGTGGATAGCCTGAAAAATAGCTGATTGTATGAGCTGTAAATATTTTCAGTGCAGTCTTTCAGCAGACACACTGATGTCTGTGGTCTCTAATTGAAACTATTTGTGTAATTCAGCACTGGGAAAGGCTTGGAAAAGGTTGGGCTGCTGGTAAAGCACATCAGGACGTAAAGGTGGAGCCAGGAGCCCAAACTTTTGGTGGTCACTAGTGCAACTTAGTAAAGGACAAGTACGATCTTCCATTGTCACATTTTACAGCAGCCACTTCTCCACCTGTCACTTTGTGTGCCAATTACATATATTTCTTAAGGAAAGAGCAGTAAAATGAAAACCTTGAAACCTTTAAGGGAGGAGAAAACTTCTGGTTAGAAATTCTTCCTCATAGCACAGTGATATCTGTGCCTTAAGTAGACACAGTCAAGTCATGTGGAATATTGGTGTTAATGCAAGAGATTCAGTAATTCAGAGTGAAATGACCTCATGTCATTAATCCAATTAAATCAGCGAGCAGCTGACCTTCATTTAAATAAATTTCAGTAGTGGCTTTGGTGAATACTGAAAACATTTATTATCTGTGTTTGATACAACAATTAAAACATTTAATTTTTGAATAATTGTTGTCCACTAGACTTGATTATTCCTTTTGTGCGGAATCAAAGATACGCTTTATACATACTTAAATGTTGAAACTAGATGATCCTTAAGGTCCTTTCCAACCCAAACCACTCTGTGACTCTATGAAACACCAGTATAAAAATGTTTGGGAAGTGAATGTTAGGATAAATCAAGTGTTATTTACCTAGTAATTTTTTTCCCATCTAGTCATTCTATCTTCCACAGAATTGCAGCTTGACATTAAAAACGTGGATAACACTAACAGTAACCAAGTGGAGCTACTGGATTTCAGGCAGAGTATGGAATAAAGAGCTCCTGTCAAATTTTTCTGTGCAGGAAAATGCTGTAATTTGTAAAGGCTGTTAGAACAGTACTAAAATACAAAGCTGAAAATTATTATGATGGGTAATACAGTGCATGAACTTGTCATATTTTATGGAACACTTCAGAGGCAATTAGTCTAAGAATACTTTCTTAGATTACATTAAATTCTGACCTTGGAAATCTTTCATACAATGGCCTGAGCATCACTTTGTTACACCAATGGTTTGTTTAAGCTTCCAGCTGTACAAATGACCATGGCAAGTTATTATTCCAGAAAGCCTCGTGTGTAAAACGGGGATGGCCTTGACTCTGATTGCAGGGAACATGGGGAAGGGTTCCTTAAGCTTTGAACATGGCACTGGGGACACTGGGGCCTTGATGGACCTGGAACTACAACAAAAACACCTGCAGTCAGGATCCCCTCAGAGCACTGCCTGGATGCCAAGGCCAAGCTGTTCTGTCCATGCTTGCACTGAACTGACAAAAAACCCAACCCTGTTCATTCTGGCAAACTAATGCAACTGATAATTCCTAGTCCATTTCTCTGGTTTCTACAAAATACAAGCTTGCAGTTATTACTTGAGTGCAGCTCCTCATTGAACTTGTAATCTCTGGAATTCACATCTCTTACAGTGCTGCAGACTGCAGCCCAACCAGCTTCCAATGTAAGAATCACCAGAGCAGCCTCCTCTGCAGCCAGACAGGTGCTGAAACCAACAGCTGCTGCTGCTACTGCTGGTAAGTGAGGCAGTGAACTGCATAGCTGAGGACTGAGCTCTAAGTGTTTGGAATAGTGTGCTGGAAAGAGATACCATCCCATACTGGAGAAGTGAGCACTGGAAACAACATGTATATGTTCATATGCTGCTGTTGGAATTGTTGTTAAATGAAATACTGGGACAGCTCTCTCTGCTGGCTGTAGGATCTTGGTTATACCTCAGGGACTGTTGTGCTGTGGAGAGACACATCAGCTGGGTCTGAAGTGCCTTAGCACATTACAGTCTGCTGTGGAACTCTCTCCCTGGAGTAGATAGACTGGATCTGACTCATGCCAAATTGTCATGTAATAAAAGGACTAAATACTGGATCACTTGGGCTCTCCTCTGGAACTCTATTGCAGTAGTTAAATCTCGATGTTGAAACAAATATTGGACAATTTCCCATAAAATCCATCAGTGTGGAGCATCAGTGTCCACATGGGAATTGCAAACTCAAAGAACAACACCAGAATGGGTTAAGATTTACCATTCTGGTGTATCTCTGTTTAAGGACATGTTTATTTACTCTGTGGTCAGGAACAGACACCTCTGGAAAGTATGAGCCTTTGTTCTTCATGTCAGGAATTTCTCTTTGTTCATGTTTGCCTGTTTACTAGAATCCAGTTCACCAGCAGAAATCCTATGCCATATAGGAATTAAAAATCTGGGCTCAAATTGCCTTCACACTGTCTTTTTAACCCTTAAGGAAATAAGGACACTTACTTTTAGTATATGACAACATTTAAAGACTAATGATTAAATGAATCTGTTCTCCTTTCTGCGTGATCCAGCTCTTACTAGGCTGTGAAATCCTAGGCCAGGTTTTCTTTTGATTCAACTTTTGTCTTTCCACTCCAAAGACAAAACAATCTCTCTCTGTCTTTAACAACTGTGTTTTTGTTGCAGTATTTTGGTGAAAGATTACCTTAATCAGATGCTTTTTGACTTCTGGGAGTTTTTCTTTTCCTAGGTAACCAGGCACAGAGAAAGGCAGCAAACATAGGAAAGCAGAAGGCAGTCAAAGCTGAGACCTCAAAGGTAGGTCATTTAATGTTTGAAATGGCAAAGCAATAAAACTGATTTAAGAGCCCATAACAATGTCATTGTAACTGAAATGTGTTCAAACTTAGAAGAGCTAAGCTCACTAATCAGCTGGGTTTGGGGAAGAAGCTGTATGCATTTATGTTGCCATAGTTTTTAAAATAAGATCAGATTTAGTACTTACATAGAATCACAGAACACGCTGAGTTGGAAGGGACCCACAAGCATCATCAAAGCCCAACTCCTGGCCCTGCACAGGACCTCCCCAAGAATCCCCCCATGGATATGGATGTGACTGGTGGATGACTTGATTGCTAATCCAGATCTGGACAATGATTTAAAACAGACAAGTAGTTCCTACATAACATCTCACATCAGATGCTTCAACTAGTAAAACTAGTCCTACTTTGCTGCTTTTGCCAAGCAGTTTTAAGTTTTGTGCAGTTCATTCCTTTTTAAGGCATATTCTGAATGTTTCCTTTTCCTGCTCAGGTAATATAGGAGCTAAGAAATAGACACAGTTTTAGGTGTTGAACCACCAAAAAATAAAGCTGGAAATGTTATTCTCTGCAAGACAGATGATTTATAAGTGAAGGCAATCAGTGTGGTTCTTGGTGTCATCACATTATGAATTTGTGTCTTCATGTGCTGACAGTTCTGTGCAAGAGCTATTGAGTTTTCTCCTTTGCACTCCACTATTCCTTCTTCCATCTCCCATCTTCACTCCTGTTGCCATAACTGCAGCTGTGCTCTAGTGTGCAATCACACACAAACAGGAGGTAAGAGCACTTATCTCTTCCTTGGTGGTATTTCCAAGTGCCTCTTCACAGGCAGGAGCTGCTTTGTGCTGCCAGCTGGTAAACTCTTGCTGTAACCACAGTCATCTCATTAGAAAAAGTTCATTAAAAGCAGAATTCCAGGCTTGCATTCCTAGCAGGGGTGGCTGAAGTGTAACAAGACTTTCAGTAGATTGATGATGCAGATTTTCTTGCAAAACAATCCAAGTTCTTTTGGCAGATTTGAGCTAACAATATCTCCTTTAGGTATCTCAGAAATGTGTTCTGTGTGACTATCTGCTCACTCATCTAAGAATGTGGATTTAGCTTACTGCTTAACTTCCCCTCTTTTAATGACGTTCTGTGGTCCTAACTGCACTTGTCCTGGGCTGCATTCCTCAGCTATCAGCTGATACTGGCTTGGGTTTCAGTCTTGGACTGAAGTATGTGTATAAACTATGATTATTCAACAGGCCTAGTTGCATTTGGAGCCAGTAATTCTGCTCTTGAGGAGTGTATCACCTTAGAGCTTTTTCTTCTAGCAGGGGGAGGAAACATTTGCTGATTTTATTATTATTTTGGTGGGTGAGTTGTTCTGCTTTAGCCCCTTGAGTGGATTGTTGCATTCCTCAGAGTTGCTACTTCTGCCTCTAGGATGATTTGCAGGTGTCAAAAACAGTTGGGCTTGTTGGTAAATCATCACTTCTGTGCAGGTGTGCTAAGGAAGGGACTTATCTGGAACTGTTCCCTTACAGTCATGTTATAATCCAGCTCATGCCTATAGCAAACACTGATTGATGTGGTAATTTGGTTTGATAATGTAGTGCTCACTTTGTCTATTTGTGCTGTTCTAGGCAGTTCCTTCTAAACGTGAAGTGGGGAAAAATGCTCGAGTGAATCCAGAGGTGAAAGGTTCTGCAGCTGATTCCAAACATTCAGCACCAGCTGAGCTTCAGCAAGAGCAAACCTCAGTGGAAAACAGCAACTCTGCTCCAGTGAGACCTAGAACTCGATCTTTTGCACCCCAAAACTTTGTGTTTCAGCCACTGAGTGGATTAACAACCTACAAAGTCACACCCCTGTCTCCTTCAAGTGCAAAGGCTTTCCTGGAACCCAATTCCTTCTGGGATTTTTCTAAATCTCCAGTGTAAGATTTTTTTTTTTCTTCTAATGTGACCTAAAATGCAAGTGAATCTCTCAGTGATGATACAGAAAACATCTTCTCTAGAGAGATTGACTGTGTAAGAAGCTGTGGTGATGTAACACCTGATCCTTGTGGTTGCTATCATTGCTTAAATGATAATGCAAGAGCAAATATGGACACAATCCTCAATTCTGGCCTTGCTTTAGAAGCAGCTATCAGGGGCTCTTCTCTATATCCCTCTGCACAGATATACTCATTTTAATAGGATTTGTCTGAGTTCTCTAGTTGTGTGGAGAATTAAATTGTGAATTTGTGTGTTTTACCATATTTGATGTCAGTTTCTCAATGTCTTAACTCTATATGTTCTTTTTGTTTGTTTCCAGCAAAACAATTGGAAAATCCAGTGAAACTAAAGCACAAAAGGCTAATTTAAAAAGTCAAGTTCCACCTGTTGCTACAGACACTCAAGAACAGCAGATGAGCATAGGTTTGGAAGGAGGAAAAGGTAAGAAGTTCACATTTAGCTTCTTGCTCTCATGTTTTTAATTATCACTGGATTCTGGACAAATTCCTTTGGTATTTTTCAGCAGGTGAATCAGATGAGAAAACTTCCAGTCAGAGGTCAGATGAAACAGCTCCTGTCTCTACAAATACCACAGCAGTTGAAGCAAAGTCAGATGGCACAGGAGAGCAAGAGCATGATGTGCCCTACTTCAGGTTTGGGTTCACATGTTTCACTTCCCTGCTGTCCATTGGAAGGTCCTTCACATGAGTAATGAGACCTCTTGTGAAGAGCAGCTAATTTAGTGGTGATTGGATCTGTAAGCAGTGACCTGGGCGGGCACACACTCCTGGCTTCTCTTTGTGTTAGTGCAAGGGAAGAATGTCAAACCCTTGTCCTAAGGAATACAAACCTGAAAGCAGTAGAAAAGAAATTGTATCTCAGCAAACTAAAAACACTGTAATGGCTTCTGCTCAGAGACAGTTTGGCTTCTCTGAAAGCAAAATGATAGTGCCATGAGTTAGGAAATCCTCTAAAACCTAATTTTTTTCTCTATCCCTTTAATTTCAGGAATATTCTTTGGACTGAGAGAGAGAGGCTGATGTCTCAGTGCCTGCAGTGGGATGGGAACCTGGAGCAGAACATTCCAGAGGATGGTGAGACTAAACTGCACTAGGCAGTAGGAGGAGTGTTACAGGAACTGAAGGGGCCAGAGGGAAGTGTGTGTATGTGAATACATTTACAAAATAGCTCTGTGGTGTTAGTTATAATGTTGCTGTGATAGTGTTACAGTGTTCATCCAATACAGTTTTTATTAAGCTTAGGGTTGTTCCTGTCCCAAGACAAAAAGGCACAGACTGTCTCATAGTGCTTGACATGACAGCGATTGAGCAAGTGAACAAAGTGCACATCAAAATAGTTACGTTGTTAGGTGTATTTAAATGTAGGAGCTCTAACCAAGCTGATTTTTAAAAATAAGCTTAGTTTTTAATGTAGAGTAAGTGCCCTTATCTGGGAAAATGCAGGTGAGTCATTAGTGCTTCTCTTAAAGACCTAGAGAGAGTAATTTTTTGAAGGAAGCAAGTTAAGAGCAGTTCAATGGATAAGGATGCTCCATCTGAATTGCATTGCAGGTCTGCAGTGCAAGAACATAGCTCAAACAATAAACTCCAGACTCTTCAAATATTTATTTAAATCAGTTGGGAATTGAGGGATTATTCCAGGATGGACTGTCTTGATTTTTTTTTCCTCTTGTTGCTGTCAGCTAAAGATCTGATTCGCACCACGACTGGTCAGACGAGGCTGCTCCTGGGAGAGAGGTTCAAACAGTTCGAAGGCCTCGTGGATAACTGTGAGTTTAAACGAGGTGAAAAAGAGACAATGTGTTCAGACTTGGATGGATTTTGGGATATGGTCAATTTTCAGGTATGTACTTGCATGTTAACCTACTAGATTAAAATTGATGGAGTTATCTATGCACCATGGATTGAAACTAATTTTTTGGGGTAATCAGATGCTGATTTTTTTATGCAATATTCAGATTCTGGTTTTTATTTTTGATGTAAAAAAGCAGGTCCTTCTTTAACACTTTCTGACAGTGGATAGTAGCTGTTGGTATACTGTGATTTATAGTTCATGGACCAGTTCATCTGTTGTGTCTTCTTGTGGTCTGTGTATCTTGTCTGTCTCTGGAATGAAGGTGTGTAGCCAAATCTGGTTTGGAGCAAGATACAGTCATGATGTTTACCTGGACCAAAAACTGGGAGCTTCTGGGAAATCCCTGGAGCTCACCTGGAAAGCAGGGTGCATGCTGCAGCATGAGAATAATGCAGAAACTACAATAACTCTATTTAGGTTTGAGCTTAGGTGGTAAAAAACATCAACAGAAAACATCTGTTGATGCTTTCAGCGATTTCTGAATGAAATACAAAGTTCTAAGTTATCCAAGTGGCTCTTGACAGAATTTCTAAATCAGCATTCAGCAAAGGAATTTGGAACTAGTTAAATGTAAAGATGGATTTGTTTATATTCAAGGCCTAGTCACAGGTCTTGAATTCCCTGCAGAAAGTGTAAGGGTTTGATCTGCTTCCTCAGAGGAATTTGAGGGGAACTTGGCAAGAACCAGTAATGTGAAAAACAAGGTTTACCTGTGCTTACTGTGGACCTGGAAGTTTCCCCTGAGCCTCCACACCTTCTCCCTTGGATAAACTTAGAGTAACAGAGCTGCTAACTGCCATTTCTGCATTCATTGTGTGTCCTCCGAGTTTTGGGGAGGAGGTAAAGGACTTGACCATGACATATTAGGCAGAAGTGTCTCCATAACAAGGCTGATGCTGTGAGTGTCAGTTAGGGAGGAGGAGATGCTGCAGAGCAGGCACAGATGGCACCAGGAAGCTGTGCAGAAACAGCAGTTTCAGAGCAAACAAGCCTGCATGGTGTGTCTCCTGCAGAATGGGAGACCCTGTGCTTGTTTGGAGAAAGACTGTTGTGCAGTGTGTTCTTTTGCATTCCTTAAATGTGACCATTGTCCAAGTGCTTGAGCTCAGGATGGGACCAGGGTGTAAACCAGCTCCTTTGTTTTGGAGCTCACTGAACAATTCTTGACTTCACCTGTGAACTCTTAAACTACAGAAATGGGACCAGTTTGGTCATCTGACCTGAGGCTTGTTCATGTGACCTTCATGATAACTGTATGAGAACACTCAATACTTCTTATCAGTTGTGGTTTAATTTGCTTCTGCTTTTAAAGTACTCAAGTGCATTAACTGTGCTTGAATCTCTTCTCTGATTTCATGAAACACTGTTCTGCTGTGAGCCTGGTAAGTCTTGAAAATTAAACCTGGATTTTTCTGGGCTTCCCAATAGATTGAAGATGTGAATAAAAAATTTGATCATCTGAAGAAGCTTCAAGACAATGAGTGGCAGCCACTTGATGTCCCAAACAAAACACTTGTCAAGGTATGAATAACCTCTAAAGCACATTCTGTATGGATTCCCTAGATGTTAAAGCTTAAAAAATCCTGTGAAGTTCCTCTCCAGATGCATCCTTCTCCCTTGCATCTCCCAAGTGCACTTGTGTCAGTTGCTGTTTGTAGTCCTAGTTGCCTCTTGTCTGGGAAGATTGGCACTAAGAGCTAATGACTTTTTTTGGAGTCATTGAACTCTTTGCTAGTAAGACACATCTATTAAGTTCAGGATATAAACTTACCCTTCAGATGTAGAACACTTTATCTGGGGTACTGGCACTGAGTTAGCTGAAAGGAAACCACACAGGAATTTGGGGGTGACTCTGCCAGTTCTGAGCAGGGAGTGCTAACTTATAACGATGTTTGATAAGACAACACCATGGGTAGCTTTAAACTGCTATTTCTCCAAGCACAAATGGATCTGATACTGTCCAAAATAACTTCCTGCTTATTGCAAACTAAGCTTTAATGAGAGTTGTTTTATCTACTCTTTGGTTTGGTATATAAAATTGATTCTAGTGACTGAATATCAAGTCATATTTGCATTGCCTAAACTCTGTCCAGTTCCTTGGGACTCCTTAACTAATGAAAAATGATATGAAGGTCGATAAGAAACTCCAGGCACAGGGAACTGGAGGGAATGTGGCCTGTGGAAGCTGCCTGTAAATGCCACAGCCCTACAGATGGTACAAAGCAAAACTTCCCTTGAAAAACTGAATGCCCGGAAAGTGTCTGGAGTCTGTCCTGTGGTTACATTATATCCCTGCCACTAGGAGTCCCTGCATCCCAGTGTTTTCCAAAATCTTACTGGGTTTGTTAGGGAAAAAAGTTGTACTGAGCATTTCTGAACTGCAGATTCAATATGAAAAAATCTTTAACATTTGTCATCACAGACTAACCTTAACAACTGGATGGCAGTCCAAGATTCTGCAGATGGAAAGACCTTGATTCTTAGAGTCATTAAAGTTGGAAAAGCTCTCTAAGATCAAGTCCAACCATTCCCCAGCACTGCCATGGCCACTACTAACCATGTCCCCAAGTGCCACATCCACATGGCACCACATGGATTGTGACTCCACCACTGCCCTGGGCAGCTGTGCCAGGGCTGGACAGCCCTTTGGGTGAAGGAATTTTCCCTAATATCCAACCTAAATCTCCCCTGGTGGAACTTGAGGCCATTTCCTTCTTATCCTATCACTCGTTACTTGGAAAAATAGACCAACACCCACCTGACTCCAACCTCCTGTCAGGGAGTTGTTAGAGAGCAGGAAGGTCCCCCCTGAGCCTCCTTTTGCCCATTGCTGTCTCGGTGGGACCAGCAGCTGTGTAGATATTCATGTGTAATTGCTTCTATCCAAAGCTTCCGGCTATGACCTGGACTTACTGTTTCAGAAAAAGGCCATTCCAAGTGGAGCACCCAAAGCCAAGCTGGAAGCAGCTGGCAGAGCTGCTGCCCGGAGCCGCCTGGCGGCTGTCAAAGCAGCCATGAGGGATAAAATGAAGCATGAGGGAGCTGCTGATGGGACATACCAGGAGACTGTGCCAGAAGTAGAAAAAGTGGTTTTTGAAGCAGGTTTTTTCAGGATTGAAAGCCCTGTGAAAAACTTCTCAGGTAGGTGAAACTGCATTATGATTTCTGTGACCTGAGAGTACTGAAAGGAGTTTAATCCATTGCACTGGGGAGAGGAATTGTGCTGTTTATACTGGAAACAACTCCATTGCTGGACACAATATTTCAGCTAGTGACTATGTCAGGGCTCCAAAGTAAACTGTTGGACATGAATGTGCTGATTTGAGTGGTTATGGCAGCATGAAATCCCTGCTCAGACAGGGAGGTGAAATAGCTGCTTCATGTTTTTCCAGCATAAGTGGAATAATGAAATTCTAATCTGAGTGTTCCCAGATTTAGCTGACAAACCTCATCATCAAAGTCAATACCAGCTAATGTCCTCTGTTTGTAAGACAGGATTTGGGATCTTTTTTTAACTATATCCCTTGCAGTGCTTCTCTTCAAAGCTGCAAATAAAGTCTGCCCATAATCTGTGTTCATGGTTAACAAGATTGTAACATAATCCAGTCTGCTATAAAAGCTGTTTAATAGTTTGGCTTTTTAACAGGTGCTCAAAATACAACTTAATTTTCAGTATCTTATTGCTCTCTGTGTGCAGCCAATATGTCCAGTAATACTTGACTCTCTGGGAGCCATTCATCTTCTCTCCCAGTTCTACTTTATAATTTGACTTTCAATTTCTCTTTTTTTTGTGCAATCTCTTTTCTTATCACACAGCCAGCAATTTTTTCATGTACCTCTTGTTAGCAGAGGAGAACTGAAAAGCTTTGAGCAACACTGGGTTTAAGCAAACTCCAGCAGAGAATCTGTTAGAAGAATCAATTCTGAATCTGTGTCTTTTTAATTCACCCGAAATCACCTAACATGAAAGGTGGAAGTTAATCACAGAATAGTTTAATGACAGCAAGTCCCATTATGTCAGGTTCTTTGTGAAGGGATAGTCATGACTAAACTGCTCAGCAGGAGCTGAGGTAGTTTTGGAACTCACTCACCTGCTCTTAGCATCTTTTTCAGTTTCTCCTTGCAGCATATATGAGGTTTCAATCAGCAAACAGAAGGCAATAATGTTCCTAGCTAGAAAACATAGCAAACAGTTCATTTCAGCTTCTGGAAACTGTAGTCATGAAATATTAAACACATTTCTCAGGTTTGCTTTCCAAGACACCTTGTAGATCTTCCCAGAGGACTTCTGGAAAACTGGCAACTCCAAGATCCTCCCGTAGAGCTTTGCTTCCAAATGTTCCTTCTGCTCTCCGTGACCCTCAGGATGCAACTGCAAAACAAACACCATCAGGGCTCAAATGCTTCCACCCAGCACACAATTTGAAAATGCACCAACTTTGCACTGGAACAACTCCCCCATTGGACACACTCCCTGATGGTGTTCCTGAGCAAAGGTAAGCATGTTAAGGCAGCTCTTAATTAACTTCCTTCAGTGATTTTATAGTCCTAACTGAAAGAATTACTATTAATACCCATTAAGTGTTACCTTCCAATTTGGCAGTGATAAAGGTTGCAAGGTCCTGGTGGCTTTTCCTTCCCTTAAGCAAATATTAAGAGCTTTGCCCAAATGTAGTTTTGCTGCTGGGGTAGAAGCTTCTTGTTTGCCCACAAAGTTTGTGCCAACTAAGCACAAATACAGAACAGTTAGGTAAGTTAAAAGGTGTTTTGAGAAGACCAAAAATATTTTGGTTTCTCTTCCAGCATTTCCATGGCTGCAGAAGAATTCTGTCCTGTTGCTGGCACAGCAGAGGGAGCTAAGGTAAGTCATGGACAGTTCCTGAGTGTGCTTTCAATATTTTGTTGTTATTATGAAGAAAAAAAAAAAGAGTTCTTTTATCCCCAAACTCTTAGATTTCTGATCAAATCCTCACTTAGATATCTTCTGCATTCCTCAAGCTGGTGCTTTTTCCCGCCCTCTCAGGATGGACATAACTAGGGACTGTTACTGTTTGGGGACCTTATCTAGCATTCTGAAGGTATCTTTGGAGGTTCTTCTGGCTGCTGCATGATGACACTTGCAATATTCCTTGAAGTCCATTCCCTCCTGTTTTCTGGTGTGAATTTTGTAAATGCTTTTGCCTCTTGGGACCATAACTAGAGGCAGCAGCAGAATTTAGCTCTCTTGGTCCTCATGTGCCATAGGAGAGCATTGAGCTATTATTCTCTTTAAAGTTATAGTAACAGAGATAGTAATCCAAGTATGACAGTTCAGAAATGTCCTGAAGTGTCTGGTTATTCTCTTTAAAGTTATAGTAACAGTGATAGTAATCCAAGTATCACAGTTCAGAAATGTCCTGAAGTGTCTGAGGGCTTGGTGAGACATCGCCTGTGTTTGAGTGACCTTAAAAAACCAGGAGTGTGACCTCTAGTTTAGATGTTACTGTGCTACTCCATAAAAGCCAATGCTCAGTGCTTCAATCCTCCTTTTGTACCTTTTGTGGGAAACACTATCTTAATTTTCTTTGCTACTGCTTGGACCTGTACATGACTGCAGGAGGGATTCCCCATCCCCATATATATATATATTTATTTATATAATCTTGGTTACTAATTTGTTCTTATGACTTTTACCTCATCCTTTTCCTATCACATGAGAAATCACTTGTTGCTGATGTCACTCTTTGGGGTAAAACTGTGGTAGTCTTTAACTTCTGGTATTGCTGAGAGGGTTTTTTTGAGGAAAAGTCACTAGAGAATCATAGAATTATAGGATCAGCTGGGTTGGAAGAGATCTCCAAGATCATCAAGTCCAACCTTACCATGGTTATTAGACCATGGCACTAAGTGCCACATCCAGTCTCAGCTTGAAAACCTCCAGGGACAGTGAATCCACCACCTCCCTGGACAGCCCATTCCAATGTCTGATCACTCTCTCTGTGAAAAATCTCTTCCTAATATCCAACCTAACCCTCCCCTGGCAGAGCTTGAGTCTGTGCCCTCTTGTCCTGCTGCTGGTTGCCTGGGAGAAGAGACCAACCCCCACCTGACTACAACCTCCTGTCAGGGAGTTGCAGAGGGTGATAAGGTCTCCCCTGAGCCTCCTCTTCTCCAGGCTGAACACCCCCAGCTCCCTCAGCCTCTCCTCATTGCACTTGTGCTCGAGTCCCTTCACCAGCCTCGTTGCTCTTCTCTGGACCTGCTCCAGCACCTCAATGTCCCTCCTGAACTGAGGGGCCCAGAACTGTACACATCCTCACAATGTGTTTGGTGTTTGAAGTTGAAAATCTTCCTTCCTGTGGAAGAACCTCCTTTATACACGGAAGGGATTGAAGGGATTTTCAGGTTTACAAGGGTGTTTGGGAAATAGTTCATGTGAAATGGATCACAGCCATAAGCCATGAACCTTGGCCTGCCTGTGCTTCATACAGTGTCTGGAGTTAAATCTCCATCTCTCCTGAATTGCCCATAAAACCTGGAGATCAGATGTGTGGGCTTGGTCTGACATAGCAGGAACTTGGCTGGGGACAGTGAAAATCCTTGTTTTTCAGGTGCTGGAAAATTCTAGCAGTGAATCAAAAGCAGTGGATGACATGGAGGAGATGGAGCTCTCTGCTGCAGAACAGGGACAGGATATTGTCATGTGCAGCCCAGAGAAGGATCCTGACACTGAGACAAACTTCGCTCAGTCCAGAGAACCAGACATAGATGCAACAGGTGCATGTCTTAGAGCTGCAAAGTGCAGTTTGGTGGGATTGGTGGGGCCTTCTGGGCATTCTAAGCTTGTAGGATAATCTAAATACTACTCTCTTAAATCACTGTCAGTGTCAGCTTGATTTGTGTGCTGTTAGCAAAAGTTATTGTTGTTTTGACTTATACATGTTGCACATGAGCAAACTGTGCCCCTCACATTTTTCTGTGTAATTTCCATGTGATATGTGAAGCAGAAAGATAATATAGAAGGAAAAAAATTCAGACAGTTTCAGATTTGAGGCTTTTATTTTTTTAGTAAATGCAGGAAACTACTGGTTTTTCAGCTTTGGCAGCATCAGGCTAACCTTAAAATGTTGGAATATTCTTATTTTTCAGATACTTTATGTAGTGATTTGACATCCATTGACAGAAATCCTTTTGATATGGTAAGTTGACCTTCAAGTTTATTTGCCTAAGACAAGCTGCATGTTCCAGTGCTGTTAACCTTTGCTACAGAATCAGTGACTGCACCAAGAAAATTAAAGATGTTATCAAGCCAATTCATACAACTTTAAACACAAGCCACAATCCAGCTGTCTCCTTGCTTGGGCTCACACTGTTATTCCTTATTGCACATGGGGAGTGTAGAATGAATCAAGATATTTACAACAGAACAGTGACTGGTTTTTATCAGATCATCCTTTAAATTTTCTCTCTAGTGAATTTCCATGTATATATTTACTAACACAGCCAAGAGCTTGAGCTTTTCCCTCCCCTTTCTTCCTGGAAGTTTTCAGGTCAGTCCCATCTTTTCTTTATAAAGTTTTAATTTCTAGAGCTGGAAGTAAGATTCAAAAGGGAAAAGGCACAAAAATATTCAAACTGTTAATGGAATTTGGGTGTGAAAAATCCTCCTTAAAACATGGACTATGATTTAAGGAATGCCTTCAAAACAGACCATGTGTATTCACTTCTTTCATGCCTGGAAATAAGCTTCAAAGCTTCTCTTAGAGAAGTCATGATACTTGCAGCAGTCCATGACTCTGACCCTTGGCAGGTAACTGTACCTCAGACACTGACTCCACACTCTAATTTCTCCCACAGCCAGTGCTGAATGCTGAGCTTCCCTTCACTCCAGTCAAGACCAAAGCCCAGAAGTTTGCAGCAGCTGAAGTGTTCAGTGACCTCATTGTGTTTTCTCCCCTTGCTCCCTCTGGGGATAATTGACCAGTGACTTAAAATGCAAACGATGTAAATTACCTGAAGAGGAAGCTCCCAGAGGGTGTCTGGAACACAGCCTGCTCCCCTGGGTCTGTGTCCTGAGTGAGGGTACCTGTGGGATTCTGTAATGGATTTTGTAAGGTTTTATGGTGCTAAGCACTGAGAACTGCTGTGCATCAGTACTGGGCTGTTACCTGGTGATACCTGCTGTATCCACTGGTTGTAAATTCTGACTGCAGCCTGAAACATTTTAATGTTGGAATAATTTCATGTGTTTCCTGTCTCCTTCAGGTTGTAAGACTGTTCACCTTTAAACTTTTCTGTCTCAGCCTTAATTACCTTGTGACTTACTATCATCCTAAGGTGCCTCCCAGAGTAGCTGTGCCTGTGCCCTGTTTCAGGGCACCCCTGGGGTCACACTCAGCCTGTGACCTGCCCAGAGCACTGTTCCATGCTCTGTCCTTGCTGTGAGGGTACCACTGCACCCTCAGGCTTCAGTGTTTGGGGTCTTAACACCTCCTTCAGTGCCAGCTATGGCAGTGTTGGATACATTCAGTTCTTTCCTGGGGGAATTTTCCTGGTGTTTAACCACCCCTGGCTTTGTAATATTAGGAACTATCTCAGAACAAGGATTTCCAAGTCAGATAATATCTTTTCCTGGCCATGTATTAAAATAGGCATTATTATTTCCTTTAAGGACACAGTTATCTATTGAGTATCTTCAGTACCTTCAAGCCAAACCCTATTTACTCTTTGGTTTTGACATGTTTAACCTCAGCCTCTTCTCTCATCTTGTTCCCTACCCAGACTGTAACATATCTGTGCATAAGGAACATGCCAGTCCTATAGACTCCGGATTTGAGGAGGAGTATTGCAGTACCACCAGTTGTATTTTTAACAAATACCTCACTGTGGGCTGCTTCTTGTACCAGTGACCTTAGTGTAACACACACATTCTTCCACCAGCCTTCAAACCAAGCAGGGAATTCAATCCCTTGGCAGAAAGCATCACTTATCACCAGTGAGACTTGGTTTTAACCTGGAAGTTGTGTACTGATTACACTGAAATAAAGAGAGGAAGCTAATGTGTGCTGGAATCCACTTTCTTTAGTACTAAACTCCAGGAAATGGATACTCTCAGATAGGTCTTAATGCCTTTACCTGCTCTGGCCTCTCCTCAGCACCATGACAGGGGTTCCTGACATGTGACATAGAGAATCCCAGCATGGTTTGCATTGGGAGGGACCTCAAAGACCAATTTGTTCCACCCCATCAGCTTGCTCCAAGCCCCATCCAACCTGGCCTGGAACACTTCCAGGGATGGGGCAGCCAAAGCCCCTCTGGGCAGCAGTGTGCTGCTCTTAGGCTACTGGATCTGCTGGAAATTTTAAGGACTCTACTTGTGACTTGGCATGTCTAAGTATAAAAGAAGCAACTGTTATGAAAGAGAATGAGACACGTCAAAGAGCTCTTTGGAAACTTCAGTGGTAGCTGTTGTGGTGCTCTTGTTTTCCAGACAAGACCAGAATGACTCACAGCAAAGAAACATACTTCTGTTTTTTTTTTTTTTTACCAGCCTGACTCACGAGGTGAAGTTGCCAATAAACCTCCCCACCCTTGGAACTGGTTTTGACTCACACACAAGTGATGAGTGGAGAGAAGCACAAGGCTTGTGACCCTTCCCGTGGTGTACGTAACACTAGTATGAATGGGATCTCCCTTGGGAGAGAAGTATGCTCAGGCCATCAGCTGGGGAGAATGGGCCTTTGAAATGAAGGGCAGAGGTGACCTATCTAGCCACAGTCTAGGGAGGAGATTTTGCTTCCTCCACCTCTGAACCCCTCCTGAAATGCCTCATTCTGGTCAGGCTTAGAGGCTCTCAAGTTATCCCTGTTTTCCAGTGTTTCCTAGAGGATTGCTGCCTGAGTTCACAGGACCAGGGGCAGAATGCCACAGGCTGCTTTCCCAAGCACTCCTCTCTGTACAAATCAAACTGCTCCTTGTTTCTGCCTCTACAGCAAGAGTTCAGGTCGTTCCACATTCAAACTCAGCTGGAGGCTGTTGTGTTGTAGTGAAAACAAACTTTACTTGTGAAAACCTTTTATTATCTCAACATAGTCTCATGAGAAGGCACTTTTGTTACAGCATAAAAAGAGCCCCTGGTTTACATCATGACTCCCTGAGGTTATACCATGCTGGGCACAACACTGGTGAGGGTGATGTCCCCTGCAATGCAGAGTTTAGTGATCTCGTTCAGCTTCTTCTCACGGAAGTTGTACTGCAGCAAGTGAGCGTCGTTGGCTGCCACCTTGAAGTGATCCGTCTCACAGAGGATTTGGAGCTGAAATAAAACCCCCAAATCAGCCCTAGGAACCACTGGATTTGCTCTAGAAGAAGTTCTAAGCCACACACTTGAGCAGGCTGGCACTGGCTGAAGGCTGCTGCAGCCTGGTGGCATGTGGAGGAGCTGGTGCAGCAAGTCTCAGCTGCAACAACACCAGTAACCTTTGCCTTCCCCAAAACTCTGCTGGACTCTTTCTCCTTCACATTTAGCTCACAGTTTGTGCCCCCCCATGACTGGCAGGAGAACTCTACACTGTGAACCTATTTTGCAGGAGAAAACACTGGTGAAGAGAATTTGGCTGCCAACATGTCATAGAAACCTGTCCAACAACTGCTGCAGAATAACAGTGTAAATAAGGAGGATTTCATAATCCATGGGAATAACAGAAGTGGGGAGAAGGTGTGCCCTGGGCAGCTGGAGCTGCAGGAGAGGGTCAGAAGTGCCAGGAATGTGATGTAGGACCTGCTGTGCTGGACAGGGTGGCTGTCCCAGAGGCACCTCTGGGAGCTGATTTACATGACGCTTGTTACCCAAACCCTCCTGGTGCTGTTGGCACACTGAGACTGAGCTGGGATTTTTGTTACCTTGAAGGGTTTTCCAGCCTCAAAGGGAAACCGAGGAGCATTCCTCTCCTCCTTGCCCCAGTTATTCTGGAACTTGGAATTGCAGACTATGACTTTCCTGTGGTCTTCATTGAAGCGAGGGTTGAAGTGGAAGGCAACGTCATCCCCTCTCTTGAAATCTAGTGAAAACCTGCAAAGGCAATTATGGATTTGATGTTTTTCCCACAAAAACTTCCAGGGCCTCCCAAAAATAGCAGAAGGAAAATCCCACAGCCCCAGCTGGGCAACGACAGGACATTTACACATTTATTTAGGGTAACAGCTACATCAGGCAGGTGTTATTCAGGAATGGAAAGCACATTCCACCCCCTGCTCCATCCAGCAGTGCCCCATGGACACCCCCAGTACCTGTCTGGGTTGGGATTGACAGTGCCAGTGATGGTGATGAGCAGCCGAGGGACGAGTCCTGCCTGCAGGGGCAGCTCAAAGGGCACTTTCTGGGAGACAACAGGGATTTAGGGTTAGGAAAAATACATGTCCAAAGCCAAATGCCACCTCCCAGGGGACAGCCCAGCCCCAGGTCCCTCCCATGGCCAAGCAAAATCAGAAGACAGAAACCCTTATACTATGATGGAGCCATTACCATTGGAGAAGTTGGTCCTCCCTGTGGAGCTGTTCCTCCCTGCGGAGCTGACCCTCCCTGAGGAGCAGGAGGCCCAAATCCAGGGCCACTGGGTGGTTGTCCTGGGGCAGGAAACGGCCCTGGTGCTGCTGGTGCTCCAGGGAATGCTCCAGGTGCTCCCGGTGCTCCTGGATACGCTCCGGGTCCTGCTGGTCCTCCAGGATACGCCCCTGGTGCTGCAGGATAGGCCCCTGGTGCTCCAGGATACCCTCCTGGTGCTCCAGGGTATGCTCCTGGTGCTCCAGGATAGGCCCCTGGTGCTGCAGGATAGGCCCCTGGTGCTCCAGGGTAGCCTGGGAATGCCCCAGGAGCCCCTGGCTGGTTCCCCCAGGCTGGCCAGCCCTGGGCTGGGGGGGCACAGGGGGCTGGGTTGTTGCTGTTGGACACGGCATCAGATAACTGAGGACAGAGAGAGAGGAGAGTCAGGTGGGAGATATTCATCCTGGGATCAGGTTGAGTTCTCCAACATCAACCTTTTGTGGCCTGCAGCATGTGCTGAGGGAAGAGCTCAGCTCTAAAGTGCTTCCCAGGACCCAGTCAATGCTCTTACTGGAATGAATTTTGGGATTTGCACAAGTTAGCAAGGACATGTTCCCTCCCATCCCTGCCAGAGGTCCCTGCTCCATAATAGTCCCCATGTTTTTCGAGGAAATCAATACTCACAGAGAAACCGTCTGACATTTTTCCTGCAACAAAGAGACAAAGGAAACTTCAGTAATTTTTAACATGCACCATGCAAAAACCAGAGAGTTTTGAGGTGAGTTATAGTGGGAATTGCTAAGCTCACACACCTGCCTGGCAGAGCTGACAGCTCTGGTGCCACGGGACAAAATCCTGGTCTGGTACCTGCAGGAGAAACAGGAGGTCACTGCTGTGAGCAATGAGTGCTCTGGGATGAATCCAGCCCAGACACCCTCTGGATGAAATCCAGCACTGCCAGTGCTAGTCACTTCCCCATTCCTGAGGCACCATCCCAGAAAAGTTATCCATAAAAAACCGGAGTGGAGTCCCTGGGGAGGCCACAGAGGTACACAGGAGCTGTGTGGGGGCTACAAATCCAGCACAGCATGTTGGGGGACACACAGCCAGTCCAGGACACACAGGATGGATGCCTGCAGCAGGCCTGGAATGGGGAGAGGAGCAGGTCCCCTTTCTCCTGCCATGCATCCCTCATTGTCCCATGCTGGCTGTAGGGCACCGAGGGAGGGACACATGTGCCACTGGCCACTCCAGGCCAGCAGATAAAAGCTGCTTTACAAGTTTTATGAGTCCACACCAGAGCAGGGCCAAACACACACCTGCCTGTGTGCAGGGATAGCCTGAGCTGGGTTCCTCCATCAAAGGGAGCATTCATAAGAGAAGAGAGAAAAAAAGGGAGAGGCAGAAACAGGGAAAGAAAAGGAAAATTCCAAATTGAAAACAGAGAAGGAAACTTCTCTTTGAAAGAAGCATTTTGGTGCACAAAGCTCACAGCAGATCTGGCTGCCCTGCCTCAGGAATAAGAAACACCCAAGTTTTCAGGGGTAACAAACCCTCAGGGTTCACAATCAATGGACAAACCCTTTCCCTGTAAAACACTCATTCTCCTGAGCCCATGGGGTTTTCCAGGCATCCAGCAGCCTGGACTGTTTGAACACCCTGTGTCTCCCACAGCTTTTATTTGCCTTCTGGGTTCTTTTTAAGCCCTTGGGTTTGCCCTTCGTTGGTCTGCAGGGTGAAGCTGAGGGTGCACACACAGCTCCTGCCAACACCCCCAGGCTGGATCCAGGTTTGCTCCAGCTGCAGCACAGCTGCCAATGGCTTGTGCTGCTCCAGGGGGAGGTTCCTGCACGATCCCTCTCTGCTGTAACACCTCAGGGAGAAGCAGTTTTGCTCCCTTTGGGCCTGGTGGGACAGCATGGCAGGAGACTTGTGTCTTCTGGCCAGGGCTGGGATGGCCAATTTGGTATTTGTAAATGAAGTAAACAAAAAGTAAACAGATTCTATAAAACCATATTCCTCTGTCACCAAATGCCACCAAGGTTGGAGTCTGGTGGTCATCAGCGTCTCTCTGGCGCTGTTGTAGCTCTTGCATACAGCTCTCTGGAAATGTTCCAGTGGGTTATTTGCCTGCTGCCATGGGAAGGGGTTTTCTTCCTTTGTTCTTTGGCTGTGCCTCAACAAAGTATTGCATGGAAGGACAGAATCATTTAGGTTGGAAAAGCCCTCTGAGAACATTGCATCCAGCTGTTCCCCAGCACTGCCAAGGCCACCGCGCTGTTGTAGCTCTTGCATACAGCTCTCTGGAAATGTTCCAGTGGGTTATTTGCCTGCTGCCATGGGAAGGGGTTTTCTTCCTTTGTTCTTTGGCTGTGCCTCAACAAAGTATTGCATGGAAGGACAGAATCATTTAGGTTGGAAAAGCCCTCTGAGAACATTGCATCCAGCTGTTCCCCAGCACTGCCAAGGCCACCACTAACATGTCCTCAAGTCAAGTATCCACAAGGCTTTTAAATCCCTCCAAGGATTGTGACTCCAACACTGCCCTGGGCAGCTGTGCCAGGGCTGGACAACCCTTTGGGGGAAAAAACTTTCCCTAATAGCCAACCTAAACCTTCCCTGGCACAGCTTGAGGCTGTTTCCTCTTGTCCTGTCCCTTGTTCCCTGGGAGCAGAGCCTGATCCCACCTGGCTGCACCTCCTGGCAGGGAGTGGTAGAGAGTGAGAAGGTCCTCCCTGAGTCTCCTTTTCTCCAGGCTGAGCCCCCACAGCTCCCTCAGCTGCTCCTCATCAGACTTGTGCTCCAACTTCCAACAGCATTTGGGCTGCTGAGCTTCAATTCAGCCAATCTCCTCCCCACAGCTCTCTGAGCTCTCCCCAGCCCAGCAGAAGATCAGCTGCAAGGAACAACTCAGGACTGACATCCATAAAACACCACAAATATTACCTAGATTCACACCAAGCAGAAAACCTTCTAATTCCGAAAAAAAAAAAACAACCCAAGTTTTCTTCCCTTTGCCACTATTTCTACACCAACTCTGCTGGGTGCCTGTCTGGCTATCTCCAACTTCCCACACACCGACATTCCCTCCCACTCCTCCGGGTGGGATCTGGGGGTTACCCCAGCACCCCACGAGTTACAAACAGCGTTATATGTCCACAACAGGCACCACCGCAGGCTTAGCCCGAGCATCCCCTAAAAACTCTTCTGAGCCGCAGCTGCCCTGGGGCTGCACTCGTGTCCCCCCTCCCGCTCCCTCGGCCCTCCCATCGCAAGGACACACCTGCCTTGTCCCGCTGCTGTCCCGCTGCGGATCGCGGAGCTGCGGCCGCAGGTGCCGGTGCTCAGCGCTCGGGGAC